GAACTGATTACATCTCTCCTGCTTCTGCTGCCTCCTCAGTACTCAACTAAAGAAGCCTACTGTGTAGGTGAAACGTTTCATTGGGTACAGGAGTAAATTCTTGGGTAGTTTTGGGTAGGGGTTGTTTTGAAAAGGACCTGCCTTGTATGGGCCAGTAGGCCTTCTGCAGTGTTCCTCCATTCTTATGCTCAACTTGTCAGTATTGTATACCATTACATTCACAGGTACTAGGAAGGCTGGTACCAGGTAAAAATAGAAATGATATAAAATACCCTAGTACCTAGCTAGGACCCGTTATCCCTAATACATGTACCTGGAAAAAAAAATACCGCATTAATCAGTATATTGTGATCCTTTAATGAGGACGTTTTGCCCACACAGTGGAATTTATTGTGACTTGATAAATCCCACTATGTGGGCAAAACATTGTCAGTAAATGATTGCAGTACTGTATTTTTTTTTTTCTTGGGTATTAAGGATGCTGGGTCCTGTGTACTAGGGAGGCTAGGTAGCAGGTACTAGGGGAGTTTATTAACAGGTACTAAGGAGGCTGGGAAGGAGGTACTAGGGAGGCTAGGTAGCAGGTACTAAGGAGGCTGAGTAGCAGGTACTAGGGAGGCTAGGTAGCAGGTACTAGGGAGGCTGAGTAGCAGGTACTAGGGAGGCTAGGTAGCAGGTACTAGGGAGGCTGGGTACTAGGAAATCTGGGTATCCCTTCCTGGAATTATTTTTAACATGATAAAGTTCCCTTATTAGTGAGATCAAATTAACTCCCAGCTCTACTGAGCTACTTAATGTGAGCTGAGGGAAAGAGAGAAGGTAAGAAGGGTAGGGAAGGACGAGCAAGGTGAAAAAAGGGTGAGAGAGGAAGGGAGAGAGGTAATAAGGGAAGGGGAGGGGAGGAAGGGAGAGAAGTAGAAGGGTGGGGGAGGAAGGGGGAGAGAGAGAGAAAGTGTAAGGAGAGAGAGAGAAGGTTGCAATAATAATAATAAAGTATTGTCTCATAAGACAGGTTAATTAAAAATGCCACATTACTTTAGTTTATTCATAGATTAAAGCAATTAGTATTTGCTGGTGTTCAGATGGACCTGGGCTGTCAGTGGTGGAGTTAGAGCCTGGTCTGGACCAGGTGGTGTTTGCCGGTGACTCCCTACGTCTGCGGTGCCGGGTCACCAGTGCTGAGGAAGGTCACAGGGTGTGGTGGGCACGGGGTGATGCCCACATCGTGCCCAGGAAGCCTGCCTCAAATAGCTCTGCCACCGTCACTGGCTACCTAGACCAGCACCATCAGCGAGGTGGAGCCATTGTTAAAACCACCTACATGCCAGAAGCTATAGAGAGGTTTGTACACCATCAGCTTTATAGCAGTCACTGTTGTGTGAGTATATGGGTGCTCCTCAGTTTATGATGGTTTGACTTATGGTGTGTTGATTTTACAATGGTGCAAAAACAGTTACTTTGGAGATGAAACTTGAGATAATTACCCAGCACGAAGGCAGCAAATCCTTAACTGTTATTCATTTATTTGTTTTTCAGTACTGGTATTTAGTTTGTTACAGAAATTATTTATTTACTTATTCAGTGACAGTAGTTACTTATTGACTTATTTATCACATATATTCATATTCAGCTTATGATATTTTCAACTTACGATGGGTTCATCGGAATGTAACCCCATTGTAAGTCGAGGAGCACCTGTAATGTGCACAGAGTAGATAAGGAGTTAGAGAGAGTTAAATCACTTTGCATTATGGTTGTAAGGATACCTACATGTTTGTTATACAGTAATGGTACATTGTGTCAGTTTCAACTAATATAATACGTATAATAACATAAAAGCAGTGTGACTTATTGTATTATACAGTTTATCTTAAATTAGGTGATTGATGTACACATTGGAGCAACTAATTTTTAAAATATCATCAATATACACACTTTTTTTTTATTTCCTTTAACAGTATGGTTGAAATCCGTGAGCTGAATGGTACTCATAGTGGAGACTGGTCTTGCTTAGTGCAGGGAGAGCAGGGTAACCACACTCGTACAGTCAGTATATATGTCATTGCCCATGACACAAAGTACTGCCCCATGAATGGTGAGTTCTGACTTTTTTTTTTTTAAATAGAATCAGATTTCATGATAGAATTATTTTTCTTTGTTTTATTAATGGTATCGTATTTTCCAGCATATAAGGTGCATGACAGACTTATCATAATGGTGAAACAGTAATTATGTACATTCAAGGGCTGATTACCCTCTTACTTTACACTGAAGCATAACACGAAGACTACCCTTGACCCTGACCTTCAGTATATAAGATGCAGGCTGATTTTCCAAGACGTTTTGTGGGAAAAAAGGTGTGCCTTATATGTCAGAAAATATTGTAATTTGAAATTTAGTACAATGATAAATTAAGACACACACAATGAGATAAATGAGAAAGAAATGGGGAAGAAAAGAAGTATTTTATTAGGGGTGACAACACAAAACTTATCTCTCAGAGGACTTGTGAAAGCAAAAAAGTGAAATACAAAAGACATAAAATTTGAAAAAGGGAATAAAAAAGCTAAACAAATTTATATAGTGTATATACAGTACAAGCATGAATAAAGCAGTCACAAAAAAAGACTGAAACTAGGAAAGATTATGCTGTTAATAAAAATAAATCTAGTGAGTACAACCAAAAGCAAACTGGAAATGAGGTATCATTCAAGGGTACACTCCTCAGTGTTGAACAGACACAGAGTGACCTCTGGCAATTTTCATAAAAGAAGCATTATAAGCTACAAATTTTAATAATAGTGGAGAAGAAGACTTCCTCCATAAGCCATACGTATCATAAGAGGCAACTAAAATGCCGAGAGCAAGGGACTAGTAACCCCTTCTTCTGTATATATTACTAAATGTAAAATGAAGGAAAACTTTCTTCACCCTGCCTCGGTAGGAGGCAACCAGTTTGTTAAAAAAACAAAAAGTAAAAAATTGTGTACAGTACTTAATGAGCAAGGTAGTATCTATGAAATAATTCAGGAAAACTTGCTTCAGAAGTCAGAAATTGCAGGACACTTTGCAAGGGAAAGGGGATGTTATGTTTCAGTGGGCCAGCATTGAATTACAACATCTGTGTTCTTAGTGAAAGCTAGTTAAAGACTGAGAAATGGTAATTATATTTTTTTTTTTATGCTTGAGCCAATCCTGCCTTGGTGGTTATTAAGTGAAGATTCAGAAAACAACGCTTCTGGTAATGTTGGAAAACAGATTTGAGATTAAACACGGTAGGTTTGTAGACAACAACCATCCACTGAGGTACTACCTTCGTGTCACAAAAGTGTCAACCAGAACCCTTTCAAAGGCACTGTACACCAGCAGGCCTTCCTTTCTCTTTCATGAACATGTAAGATGACAGGTAGATCTTACAAAGAACAAAAAGGAACAATACCATGACTGGAACAACACAAATAACCCACACATAGGAGAGAGAAGTTTATGACGATGTTTCTGTCCAACTTGGACCATTTACAAGTCACACTAAAACACAGGGAGCCAGTATATATAGGAGACAGGGACAGGGATGGGACAAAGAGAGGAAGAAAGAAGGAAGTAGAGAAGTAATGGTAGAGGCAGTGCTGGTAGTGGAAGTAGTAGTAGAAACATCATCATAAGCTTCTCTCTTGTATGTGTGGGTTATTTGTGTATGTATAAATCTTACAAACTTCTACTCATATTTAATATACACTTAAATTTCATGTGTGTCTCACATGAATTTAGGAAGCATAGTCTGAGATAAGCTGTGGGGGTGATGGTCCCTCAGAACCATAATAAACATATCAATAACATATATAACCAGAAAACCTTTAAATAAATGCAGCAGTGAGAAAATCTTATGCAGTGCTGGCAAGCTTTAGGACAGCTTCTGAGTACATGAATAGAGAAATACTGAAAATGTAATATGTTTAATCCAAATTGTAGTATGCAGAGTATGCAGCTGTTGTATGGTGCTGACACCTACCAGAAAACACAGTTTGTAGGCAAAATACAAAAGTTTAAAGATACGCAGCAAAATGTTTTCTTGAGTTAAGCAATGCAAACGAAAACCCAAGAGTGAATATTCTTCATTGGAATATAGGAAGTAAAAAAATCAGTGGAATATACAGATACTTGACATTCAAAGATGTTTTATGAAACCAGCAGTATGGGAGAGCAAGTAGCTCTAGTTTCACATTACAGAAATGTAGTGTAGGAAAGACAATACAAAGCCCTTCACTAATAGTGATGGTAGTGGTACTAGTAGAGGTACCAGTGGTGGTACCTCTAGTGGTACTAGAAGAGGTACCACTAGTGGTACAGTAGAGGTACCAGTGATGGTACCTTTAGAGGTACTAGTAGTGGTACCTCTAGTGGTACAGTAGTAGTATTGGTAGAAGTAGTGTGTACTACAGCCACTGCTAGCTGGCATCAAGGCACCCTCACCCCTTTCAAGGGGGAGTCTTAATGCCAGCTAGCAGAGAAGAACTCTTGATTCAAGAAATTACAGCTACCTTTTTGTTTCTTGAATCAAACCTGATTACCTCCAGTTTCCCAGGTACTGTAAAACCCCTACTAGTTAGTGCTTCCCCATAATTATACAGCAACTACAAATAGGTAATCCCACACACGCATCATGCATATACAGTAAAATCAAATTTGCCTTTATCATACATAACCTTAAATGAATATTATATTTTGTTTAATGCTCATCACCTATATTTCAGAAACAAGTAATAATCGAGGGACGTACGTGTGGCCGCGGACGGTAGCAGGTGTTACTGTAGAGTTGGGTTGTGCTGGTCTGGTGCCACCTCATCAAAGAGGCCCCAAATTTCCAGCCAAAGCAGCAGGGACCATACCTAGCCTGCGGGTTGCCAAACACACATGTTCTGTTGAAGGTTTCTGGCATGCGCTGAACACCTCTGACTGTCCCTTTGTGTCAGACACCACAAAGATCCTGGAACAGTTTGCTTCTACAAATGTCTTTGCTAGCAAGAGAGGCCTTGTTGAAAGTGCCAAAAGCTTGCGCAATTTTACTCGTGATGGGAAAATCCTGCGAGATGCTGTGGATATTGTGTTTTTAGCCAAGACTGTGGAGCAGTACACGAACCTTCTGGGAACACTCTCAGGCCCCAAGGAGACAGCCTCTGCACTGATTGACATTGTTAGTGCCTCAATGTCTACTGCTAAAGGTTAGCTTCTCTTGGAAATATTTTGATGTGCTTAATTGTAGTTATACATTAAGTTTGCCCTGGAAGAGGTGCTTTGATGCTGGAGGCTTTTAATCCAATGAATTATAGCTACTCTCTTCTTTGCATTAAACTTAATTCCCTCTCATTCCTTGGGTGCTGCATTACCCTTGTGAGTTTAGTGCTTCCTCACAAATATTATAATAATAATAGTACATTGACACATTCCTTTGTAAAAATAAATTTACATTGAGAATATTTTACTGTATTTAATTTTAAGTTTTATAGTGTCTTTCAGAGTAGCATGCATCTGTTCTTCACTTTATGTAGGTTTGTTATATTTAACTAAAACTACAAATTGATGTACTATATAGTATTATCTAGAAGAAACTGCAACAGTAACTTTTTGTACATCTCTGTTTTTCTTGTTAAGTCACAGCTGAATATACTGAGCCTATTTTTGTCAGTTTTATCTGATTGATGAAGAATTAATAGAACCTGTGTTGATCAGTATACCTGGAGGGTGTTCTGGGGACAATGGCACCACAGTCCAATCCATGACTAGGCCTCATGGTGGATCAGGGACTGACCCACCATGAATTAGACAGGGTTATTGACAGAAGAAACACATTTGAATAGGTCATGAGGTCAAACATCAGTGGAATTTTTGTACTTTGATGATTTCAAATCTGTATTCACGTAATGATGCTCCAGAGCATAAAATAACTTTGAATACCAAATCTGAAAACATTTGAGATGATGGGGTGCTAAGTTCCCCAAAAATATTGATTGTCTTGTCGTGGAACTCCCAGGATAGTGAAGTCCAAGAAATTTTGTCAGCAAGACAATTTTTTAGATAATGCATGTTTTTACTACATTTTGCTTGTTTATATTTAGGATTAAAATACCATTCAGTAACCAGTTCAGACTTTGCATGTGGGTACCTAGTTATACAGTGGCAGATTTACCAATAAACAGCCACTAATGCCTCAACTATTGAGGGGTCCCAAGTCATTAACTATTTCTTTCTTAACCTTTCATGAGTTGTGCCCCTTTCTGTAATATATTTAACAGTTTGTGGTGGCACAGGGGACCACAAATATTTACTTGCCTTTTTTTGTTTTTTTAACATCCCAGCAATATCCCACCGTGTCGTGTTGACCCGAAAAAGTAGATACGCTTTCACCACCATTCACTCCATCACTGTCTTGTCAGAGGTGTGCTGATACAACAGTTCAGGTGCCCTTCCAAACTACAGTATCCCCACCCCTCCTTCAGAGTGCAGACACTGTAATTCCCACCACCAGGACTCATGTCTGGCTAACTGGTTTCCCTGAATCCCTTCACAAAATTAATAATATTATTACTATAATCATGGGGAAGAGCTGAACTCATAAGGATCATACAGTGCCTGGGAAATGGGAGCCAGTGAAGTCTGATCTAAGAAAGGGGCTCTGGATCCATTTCCTTGGATCCAGAGCCCCTTACTCCTTCGAGAGTTAGAAACTTATGGATTATTATTATATTCATTGACTAAAGAGCCATTCACCATCCTGGAGAACCATTGAATGGACAAACCAGTATATAAAAATTGAAAAAGTTGAGGAATGCAAAATCACACTATGGCTCAGATGTTGTACTGTATTTTGACAAATATGTGTAAATATATGTTGTAAAGGTAGAAAGTTGAAAGTGAACATAGAAAAGAGTAAGGTGATGAGGGTGTCAAATGATTTAGATAAAGAAAAATTGGATATCAAATTGGGGAGGAGGAGTATGGAAGAAGTGAATGTTTTCAGATACTTGGGAGTTGACGTGTCGGCGGATGGATTTATGAAGGATGAGGTTAATCATAGAATTGATGAGGGAAAAAAGGTGAGTGGTGCGTTGAGGTATATGTGGAGTCAAAAAACGTTATCTATGGAGGCAAAGGGAATGTATGAAAGTATAGTAGTACCAACACTCTTATATGGGTGTGAAGCTTGGGTGGTAAATGCAGCAGCGAGGAGACGGTTGGAGGCAGTGGAGATGTCCTGTTTAAGGGCAATGTGTGGTGTAAATATTATGCAGAAAATTCGGAGTGTGGAAATTAGGAAAAGGTGTGGAGTTAATAAAAGTATTAGTCAGAGGGCAGAAGAGGGGTTGTTGAGGTGGTTTGGTCATTTAGAGAGAATGGATCAAAGAATGACATGGAAAGCATATAAATCTATAGGGGAAGGAAGGCGGGGTAGGGGTCGCCCTCGAAAGGGTTGGAGAGAGGGGGTAAAGGAGGTTTTGTGGGCAAGGGGCTTGGACTTCCAGCAAGCGTGCGTGAGCGTGTTAGATAGGAGTGAATGGAGACGAATGGTACTTGGGACCTGACGATCTGTTGGAGTGTGAGCAGGGTAATATTTAGTGAAGGGATTCAGGGAAACCGGTTATTTTCATATAGTCGGACTTGAGTCCTGGAAATGGGAAGTACAATGCCTGCACTTTAAAGGAGGGGTTTGGGATATTGGCAGTTTGGAGGGATATGTTGTGTATCTTTATGTGTGTATGTTTCTAGACTGTTGTATTCTGAGCACCTCTGCAAAAACAGTGATAATGTGCGAGTGTGGTGAAAGTGTTGAATGATGATGAAAGTATTTTCTTTTTGGGGATTTTCTTTCTTTTTTGGGTCACCCTGCCTCGGTGGGAGACGGCCGACTTGTTGAAAAAAAAAAAAATATGTTGTAAAATTTTTAGCAAATATTCTGGCATTATTTATTAGGTTTGTATGTGGGAGAAACTGCATGCCAGGTGGAGATTGTATATTTTAGAATCTCAAATGAGACTGCTTTACAAATTATGATTCATTGTTAAATTTTTACTTTGTATATTTTAGTCTAGATCAGGGGTTCTTAACCTTTTTATAATTACAGATCCCCAATGGATTACCCAATATGTCCCTATACCGTATTAGGTACCAGTACGACTTCAAAAGATGTCAATAGCTTGGTTTTACTTTACATTTGGATAGCTTACAACAGAACAGCTGATTCAGGAGGGACCTGCATATAGAGCACCTATTTTTGGTGTTTCACATTTTTATTAACTTTCAGTTGAGCTATTGTTCATTATGTTTGGTGCTTTAACCACTGCTCCACCGGTATCTCCATTTTCATTTAATAGTTGTGTAAGGGAGATAACTGGTGCCATATTTAGAGCTGTATGAATGGGGCCATCCTCTAGTTTATTTTAACCACTTTTATTTTTAAATTGTTTGGAGATCGAGTCCCATACCCCCGAAGGATATGGATACCCCTGGTCTATAAAAATCTACTATAACTGATATATCTTTCAGTATTGTAACTGTTGTATCTTCCAGAACTGTTGTACACTGCCGAGGTTCTGGATGGTGCTTGTCAGCGGCTGTTAAACTGTCTGTGGGATGTGGCAACATACTTTCCCACCTTGAATCGTGGCGCTCATCACCTTGAGATGCACCAGTTCAGTAGGCAACCAGAAACTTTCTCTGGTCTCACCTGTAACTGGTACAGACGCAGCGTGCACTCAACCGAAAGACACTTTCGTTGTAATACAAATAACTATTCAATGCTTTATAGGTATGGCAATTAATCTTTGTTGAGATATTAACTGTAGAGTTTTGCAAATTGCACTCTTGAAGAATAGTTTTTTGTCTCCAAGATTTTAGTTTGATATATTGTAATGTGTGTGTGTGCGTGCGTGCGTGTACACTGATATACTGTATTATTATTATAATCAAGGGGAAGCGCTAAACCCGGAGGATTATACAGCGCCTGGGGGGGGGGATGTGGAAGGCATTCAGGCTGAATTCGGGGAACTGGAGCACAGATCCAATTTCCTAAATCAAGAGCCCCTCACCAACATCAAGGAACCTTCCTTGAGGGGTGATATACTGTAATGATAGTGTGTGTGTGTATATATATATATATATATATATATATATATATGTGTCAGTTTTGATATTTAACATCTATATTTATTTTACAGCAGTGATGATGAAATAATGGATGCTCAGATTCAAGTTCCATCTAGTTTGTTCTCTAGAGAGCAGCTCAGGATATTAAATGTATCAGAAGAGGAGACAGAATCTCCAAGTACACCAACAACAGTGCAGCTACAGTTTTTTGTCTATGATACTGCCAAACTCTTTCCCAGGGTACTAGTTGGGAACTCTGATACTTGGGAAATTACTTCACCCGTGATTGGTGCTAGGGTAAGTGATCAGGAAGAGGAATTGCAGCTAGAAGACAGTGTGTATGTTACTCTTCGCTCAGCTATCTACAGCCACAGTATATTACCAGTATGGTGGAAACAGAATGCCACTAGTAATCAAGGAAACTGGACTAGTGAAGGTTGTAAAATTGTCCGCATGTTGAACTCATTGGTGGTTTTCCGTTGTGATAGATTGGCTCACTTTGCCCTGTTGCAAGATATGGCAGCTTTGCATCGAAGTCAAGAAGGAGCAAGGGGAGCTGAGTTTCGACCAAGTGCACCTGGAGTGTATGTTGGCAGCGCAGTTTGTATTTTATTCTTAATGGCATCTATAGTAACATGGGCCGCTCATCATCACCGTATTGCCACCATGAACAAAAATAAGCATTCTTTGATGAACACTTGGATTGCATTACTATTACTAGTAACCTTGTTTACAGTAGGCGTTTATCAAACTGAGAACCAGCAGCTGTGCCAAGGGATTGGTGTGGCACTACATTACTTGACAACATGTGTGTTACTCTGGATTATTGTGACTGTAACAAACTTATACAAGAAAGTAACGAAAGCACTGCGTCCTCCAGTTCCAGTTGAAGATTCTCCACCTGATATTCCCCTTCCGCCCAAGCCAATGCTCCGTTTCTATCTGGTTGGCTGGGGCATTGCACTTATCCTGTGTGGCATATCTGCAGCTGTCAACCTTCAGCAGTATGCAGGATACAGTTACTGTTTTTTAGCATGGGGACCTAGTCTGGGGGCATTTTATGCCCCCACAGCTGCCCTAGCTTTTATCCTCTCCACTTTTTTCCTCTTGACTCACTGTATGCTGAGATCCCTTCGGGCTAATTATCCTGAAGTCACTGGTGCGACAGAGACAACTGAATTGGAACTTTTAGATGCAAATTCCCCCAACTCAGAAAATGCAAATGCTCCAGGTGAGGAGGAGCTTAGTATTGCTTCTCGTGATACAACAGTAAGTGTATCGGATGGCCAGCACAGCCCTCTTACACAGTTGAGGGCACATGTTGTCACACTCCTCCTTTTCATTCTCACATGGGCAGCTGCTGCAATCACTACTGCAGCACCATTTGCTTCTGTAATCCCTCACCATACTACAATATTCAGCATTATTTATGCCATATGTGCCAGCAGTTTGGGCATATTTATATTTGTTTTTTTTTGTGTCAGTCGCAATGATGTGTGGGAGGCATGGCGTGAATGTTCTTGTGCATTGAATCGACACAGAAAAGAGGAGGAAGAAGCACATCTGACAACTCCAGCCAATAACAGTGCTAATCACATAGTGGTGTCAAATAATCAATCTCGAGGGCCTGTAGGAGCACCCAGCACACACAGTCTTGATTCCTCCCAAACCCACCAAACAAACAAATCATCATCAGTTTCTCACAGTATTCTTACTTCAAATAAGCCAGAAAGTCTTGGCAAAGCAACCAATAATCTTCAACTACTGAGCTTGGGCACAATGACAAATGATCTCCATTATGCACCAGAGATTTTTTATAATCCCAAACAGGCAGGAGTTGCAAAGAGGTTCTTTCAGAAGCAGCGCATGAGGCAGATGGTAAAACAAAATAATCTTGAAATCAACAGGACAGACAGTGATTGTAATTCCACTGTCTACAAGCCAAAGATTTCACGATCGATAAACTCTGAATCTAGCAAATCGAACTTTGATCCCTCATGTTTAGGAGCATCTAGTAAAGTAAATAATACTAATATTCATGTTGATTCAATGTATGCTTACATACCAAGTGAATTTCAAAAGGGTGGAGGAAAACATGCCAGCAAAGATCCCACTCCTGAGGTACTGTGTGTGTTGGGGCCAAGCAATGATGATACCAAAATGGTCGGTCTTTATCCATCAATGACCATTGAAAGACCAATAGATGTAGACAGGGGGTGGGCAACTATACCCCGCAAACCACGTGCTTTTATGGAGGAGCCATTAAGCCCTATGCGGCGTGGCGGATCCTTTCCTAGCATTGTGGAGGAGGGGCAGCTTACGTCTCAGGGCACCAGTCAGAGTTCAGCCTTGGAGCAACTTCCATATATATCCCAAGAACAACTACAGCAACAGAGACTATTTAATTACCCAGTTCTAGGGCAGGTGGCACCTATGAATCAGCAACTAGTACAGTATCATAGCCCTAGACACCACCAGCAACACTTGGATGAAGAGGGACTTCTACGAAAAAATAGAAATTCTTTTAATTCTGATCAAACTGAAAGATCAGATGCAGCAGGTGTAACACGAAATGTGGATCATTCCCGGATGGGCCGTCACCCCAAGTATAGAGGACGTGAGAGACCTCGACCTGGCAGAAATAGGCGTAAAGTATCCAAATCCAGAGGCACCTGTGCACTTGATGAAAAAGATGACTGGACAGATGATAATACCTCTCCTATTATTATTAATCACTTGCCATCTAGAGAACCTGGAACATCTGAATCTGATAAGGATGTAAATTCTCATCAGTTTGCACCTTATCCACAGCATATTCATGCTCTCTCTGCACCCAACACCCAGCATGCTATTCTCCAGACTAGTCTTGATTCTGTTAACCCTGTTCTTTCTCCAGAACAAACAGAGGATATACTGTGTGTTGACATGTCCTGGCCACACGTTATGAATTCTGCTATTTCAGTAGACAAAAATGGGAGAACAATATCAGAGAAAAGTAATTGTCAATGCCTTCATGCTGTATATTCTTCAAACTTAGATGACTCTTCTCACATGCCAGTAGAAATGTGTTGTAGTGAGGACCATGGTGAGGAAGGAGATTGTGGAGCATGGGACAGTGAATGTGGGGATGGGTACTGGTGTGATGGAGGTGGTGAAGAACGTGTTAGTGTTTGTGAGGTCAGTGGGTGTGAAAACTCCAGCCTCTGTGGAGGAGCATGTGGAGCACGGGGAGATTTGTGTGGAAGCCAGAGCAGTGAGGGTGAAACCAGCATAGGAGGTGCAAGTGTTGATCCTGCAGTTGGCACTAGTCCTCGTGGTAGTGTCAATATCTCAGACTCCCCGTATGACTCTCCTTTACATCGTCTTCATCAAAATACTCCAGATAGTGGTTCACTAGATTCTGGTCTTCTTGGGTCTCCAGGGCGACCTCCATATGATACGGTACTTACAAACACTGGCCCTATTCACAGTACACCAAGAGAAAGAGATATTTTCCATAAAGTTGATCTTCCACTATGTGAAGTATACATGAAAGATGCTAGTGCAGAAACTGATTTGCAAGACGATCTTGACTCGGCTAACATGAACAATAGTGAATACTTGAATACTGAAACGAGTGCAGCAGATTCTTCTGGAAACTCCATTTTCTATCATACCAATAGCTCTGTAGAAACTGTTCTAAGAAATGGTGACAAATATGATGGTGCAAATGATGACAGTGATGATGAGAAAGAGTTGTGTAAGAAGGATCATAGAAGAACAAGTGTTAATGGTGGTGAGGAAGACTGTAGAACCAGAGTGGACCAGGACCCAGATTCTAATCCAAAGAGAGAAACATGTGTTTAGCAAGGCTTTCTTCCTTTTTTTTGCACTCTTAGGTAATGTACAGTATTTATATTGTAAAAGTTCCTGTTTGTGACATTTAAATTTTTTCTGACTAGACATGTTAATGAGTTATAATTAATATTTGTAGGAGTGTATAGATGTAGAATTAAATTTGTACAGATAATTAGTTATATATTTTAACCAATATCATATGTATGGTATGGCTCATTACTAGACATATCAGTCAACAATTTATACAGTATCTTAACCTGTTTTCAGCTCTTTTTACCATGAAAATAATCATAGCTTTTACTGTACATTTATTGATGCTGTTATAATTTGGTGTAGAATATTGAGAGCTGGTTGAAGAATATACAGTCCATTATAATAATAATAATAGTATATTTGATAAACCATATAATGGCTGCGGTTAGAACTCACGGCGAGCGAGTTGTGAAGCTCCGAGCCAGTGCACAAGCCACTGGGCCAGATGGCTATAATAAGATTCAGCCAACTAAGTATATTTATACACCATAGGGAGGTTAGCATGGGCCCCACTGTGACCACAAATGCAAGTTTTTACAGATAAATCTCCTGCCAGCATAACCATGATGAACTCCAGCTCAAAGCCATCATGAGGGAATCATGTGTACCTCCCTATGTGTGTAAATATACTTAATTGGATAAATCTTATTGTAGCCAGCTCGCCCACTGGCTTGGAGTTTTACGACTTGCTCGCCATGGGTTCAAACCCCACCTGTTCTGTGGTTTGTTTGCAATCGTGTTATTACGATTTCATGAGTAAGTATATTTGATATGTTGGTTGTTTTTTTATGATGTCAGGTGTTGCACCATGATAAGTGTCTACTTTGACACGTGTTTTTATGGCAGTATTATGAACATTACTGCTAAACAGTGGATGGTACTTTTACAAAGTACTCTGCGAGCCAAAAATTTAAAAAAAAATATTTTCTATTGTAATTTGACTTGATAAGGCTTAGGTATGCACTGTTTGTGTGTTGCTCATATGGAACACTTGGCATGGCTGCTTTTATTGCTTTGTCCAGGTTGTAAAGCTCTTAATATTACAAAGTTGTCATTTAAATTTCATATATTAAGTGGGAAAAAGTAGTATGCTAGCAGTTGAATAATTCAAATTGTCATATTTTCATGACATGACAGCGTAGTTGTTCAGTATTGTGACAATGTTAACAAATACTTGTCCTCGTATAATATTGATTTCAAAGTTAAGAAGCTTCAATCTTTTGTCAAGCTGCAAGTTTTATGTTGGTCTCATTGCTAGTTATCTCCAGGGTAACTGAACTGTCATTTATACCCCATTAGTTACAAAATGTAAATTATTTGAAAGCTTTAAATTTAGTGAGGAAATTCAGAGATTCATAAGTACAAGTGCAATAGATACAAATGAAAGGTTGCTAAGACTATGGTTCGAGAAACATTTCCCCCCCCCCCTTAGGTTGTTGTGGTAGGGTTACATGTATAGCTCCTCCAATGTGAGCAACTCTGGTCCTACAGAAGAATCATCTAAGTCAAACTTAATGAAATGCAAATTAATACTGTACAAGTAGGGCCCTAACTTTCAGACTTCCAACATTGGCATTTTGGAACCACTTAATTGGTTAAGAACTGAAGATTCATTAATGGACCTCTCATTAACAGATTTTAGCAATTTCAGACAAAAAAGTTGGCCAGACAGAATGAACAAAAGCCTGTAAATCCAGATTTTGTCTAGAGCAATAGTGTCCAGTTGTCTTCTGAAGCATCAACACAAGCCTAATGATTCTGACGTTTGTCTGGTACAGACCAGAGTGGCCATGTCCAGGACCTGTCTGTTTTCAGTGTTACCTGAGCCATAGGTCACCTGCGCCAGTTTGTTTGTACTCGGGCATACATTTGTCATTCAGTCTAATTGTCCCCCTGGATTTAGAGTGACTTTATTAACATATTAAGTAAAGTGCAATTAACTATGGCTTCTAAAGCAAGTGATGATGTCAAGAGGCAACATGTGGCTCTCAGTGTAAGCAGAAACTTGAACTAATAAAGGTCGAATTTGGCATCTCAGTGGCATGGGTATGTGAGGAATACAGTGTTAGGAAACTGTAAATATCTGTAGAAGCATTAACAAACTTACAACCTATGCTCTAAGTTTAGTGTAGATGCTGGTGAAGTCAGAATAAAAGTTATTTTGAGTCACCACTGTTGATCACACACCAACTCTTCACCACAAAAAGGCAAGTACAATTACTGTAAATTACATCTCGTCCCCCTATTAGTCTGTTATTACGAGGATTCATTGTATTTACATTGTGTCAGTGCATCAAGTAGTTGGCATGTGGGCAAAGACTGGAGAACAAAGGTGAGGCAGGGAGGTAGGTGGTTGCCCTTAGGGAGGCCCCCCCCCCTGGTTCTGAACTGTCATGAACATGCTCAGTAAACAATTGGACTAAGATGCAACACCACATAGTGAAAACACTCCCTCACACAACACAACCATCCTCACACCCTCTGTAAGTGAAAACAAATTACTGGATAAAATTAACTGAAATTATACACTGAATATTATGGCTCAGAAACACATTAATTCATTTTACATTAATTAGTGTGTTTCGGAGCCATAATATTCAGTGTATAATTTCAGTTAATTTTTTCAAGTATGGGAAAACATGTTCTGAGTATTGAACAATCAACTTGATAAATTTTCTGGAATGCACTAGCATCATAATTTGGGGTCCTACTATATATATATTCATTAATTTGAATTTTATGATTTTACTGGTGTTGCTGACAACAGTATTCACATCCAATCTCAAGACTATGTCCAGATTCACTTTACTGGGCATCTCGCAAACTGAATCTGCATTATTTTAAGAAACACTCTATATGCACATCTACTAATGAACACAATTTTAAGAAACACATCCCAGCCCCTCAATTTTTTTTTATTCTTCCCAGTAGGTTTAGGTTTTGGTTGCTGAAATCATTATGTTGCTACATTTCATCAGCTTTAGATTCTGCTATTAAATTTTTGGGGAATCAAATTCTCCATTAATTACCCTCTTACAACTGCTTTGTCCAATCAGGGAGAGGCACTTTGATGCTAGTAAGTGGCTTTTCATCTAGGGAAGTTGATTTGTCATTCCTTGTACACAAATTGCCTCCCATTCACTGTGCTCATAGTTATTCCCTTGGAATTATTATTAATCACAGAAAATGAGTAAGTATTATTTTGACCCCTCAAAGGTTACTGGATACCAGTGAAGGGATTTTGATCCAAGGAATTGAAGTCTTCCTTGGATCAAACAAAAAGGCACAATACCGTGACTGGACCAATGCACATAGAGAGAAGCTTATTGACAATATTTCAGTCTGACTTGAACATTTACAGGTAACAAGTGTGACTTGTAAATGGTCCGAGTCAGACCAAAATGTCTTCATAAGATTCTCTCCAGTGTGCGGGATATTTGTATAAACATTCATTTCCACAGGTATTGTATGACACCCTACGGGTTTCCCCACTTCTAGATGTAATGTTTTGAAAATTGCAGTTAAATTCCAAGTTATTTTGAATTACAGAAAATGGGAATTAGCCTTGAATGCTTAAGTGAACCAAGTTATTTTTCCTAAGGAAAATTTGAAATTTGTTTGGAAAGATGGAGTGGAAGTCAGTGATTGCTTTTCTTGCAGAAAAATGGGAATGTGTTTGAAGGTGAAATAAAACTCCCATGGAGTTATTGTTCTTAAAGAAGATATAGAAAAGGGTAGCTTACCTTGAAAGCTGAAGTGAAATTCCCACACTTATTTTTAAAGGAAACTAGGGTTCATTACAGAAAAGGGGAAATTTTCTTGACAGCTGGAGAGAAAGTACCAGTCATTATTCATCACAGAAATTTTTTTTTTTTTTATGGAACACAAGTTTTGAAAACTGGAATAAAATTTCAGTTTAAAAGAAAGGAGGAGCTAGACAGATAGCTCAAGTCATTACCTGACCATCCAGGCTGTGGTTCATGTGTTGGAGTGAGTGCAGTCGGCAGTAACAGCTTGATCCACCATGAGGCCTGGTCATGGACTAGGCCGTGGGGGTGTTGACCCCTGGAACACACTCCAGATACAGGGAAGTGTTAAACCTTGAGGGGTTATATAGTACATAGGCAGCAATAAGGTTTGATCCAAGGGGAAAAAAAAAAAAAAGCAAGGCCAGTTCCTTAGATTAAGAACACCTAGCTGGCATTACGGCTCCCTCCCACAAGGGACGCTTTGTGTACAAAACATATTTGGACAAAGTACAGAAGACAAATTAGGGCATTAGGATTTAGTAAAATAAAGTTGTATATTTTTTTTTTATCAGTTCATAAATGCATTTAAGAAATGTATAGTTCCAAAGACAACTTATATTATTTAAGCTTTATGGTAAAGGCTGATGAAAGCAAAATATTTGCCATAATTATCAGCACTTTTAAAGTCACTTGTAAATAAACTGTGAGTGATTTATATAATGTAAATTAAATGTGAATTTTGATAGCAGTTTTCATTTTCCTTTGTATTATAGTCATTGGTAAGTTTTGTCTCACAAACAGTCACAGCTGCTGTTATAATAATAGTATCTTCCTGTACAAGGTATACAGGTCTAGCTGATATCAATGACATACTATTATATAGAAAGCCCCTTGTTATACAGGGTGCGACCCCCATAGTTGACTAACACCCAGTTACCCATTTTACCTATGAGAGCTTTAGCCACCAAGCCACAGGGCACCCTACATACAACAATGAGAAAACTAAACACAAGCTTAATTAAATGTCATAGTATCTGCGGCTGTTGCTCTAATTATACAAAAAATCAAATTATCTTTAGTTAGAATGCACAATAAGATATTACAGTTGGGCAACCCATATTAACTGGTGCAGAAATTAGACCTCAGTCAATTTTAAAAATATTAAAATAAATGATGAAAAAAATGCAGTTATTTTCATGTGAATGTAATTATTAGGGAGGGGGGGGGGGTGACCAAGTATAAGGATTGGACCTGATACAACAATTAAATGGCTCCTATGCTTACCTGATATAACAGCCTCAAACTACTGGAGGTTTGTGAAAGATTGCTTCCCAGATACCAGTAGCTGACATTAAAAGATCACATGTTAGGATGAATGGTATCGGAAAAGTCACTCCAATATAATAGCCAATGCATGGAATTTCTGAAATGAATTAGATGTGTTGTGGGTCACTTGAGTTGCATCATCACTATGACAACTGTGAAGCTGTTGAAAAACTAATAGTTTAATTACCACATGTATCTTCATATCTTACCATTTTGTTAAAAAAAAATCAGAAAAGGGTTTTGCAGACACCCTGTACTATATTTAGTACTGGATTTGAGATCACTGAATTATAATTCATGATTCAAAATAAAATCTGGTATCTTCCATCCAACACTATCACACACAGCTCTGGTTCTAGAGAGTATTTCATTCAAACATGTTTCTGCATTATCTGTCTGTCCTGGTGTGCAGCCACACTTACTGTCCCTTGATTTATAACGATCTCTGGTGCTATCTTCGGAATATTTGGCATCCACAAAACACTCACTAGAACATAATCTGACTTCCTCCTGTTCATTTCTTGTTTCAGTCTGTTTATTACTTTTCAAAACTTTTTCAAGTATAGATTTACTTGGTTCAAAATTAAGCTTAAGTGCATGATTTATCATATTTTGTATCAGTCTAATTTCCACTTTTTGCTCTTCATTAAGATTACTCTTGCATTTAGTCAAACAAGCCATTAATAATCCATCCAGCCTAGACAAATAAATTTCTTTTTTTCCCCTTTTTACCTTGGGGTTCACCTTAGACTGTGGACTGAAAAGCTGTCTCATAAGCCTTCATTTCTTCTGCAGCTTTTCATCCTCTTCAAATCTCCAAGGATAGCATTTTATAACCTGTGAGATGAGCTTATCAAAAGCCTGATCGGAGATTCCAAAGCTTTTCGTCACTTCTTGGTCATCCCAGATATCAGATTGCCTTATTGTCCCACCACTACGGAATTCGTAATCATTTAAACCTTAAAATCAAGCAATCTGATAAGAAAAAACCACACAATAAAATATATTAATCTGGTTTATTGACAGTATTTAAAGTCATATGTATATTGAAACAAAAACCTAAAAGTATGATTACTCATTTTTAAGTAATTCTGAGCAGCAGTAAAGCATCTACTCCCACTGAGGGGTATTCTTGGTTCCTTGTAGTATGCAGCATAAAATCCTCAACAAATTCAGCAAAACAGTCTTTCTTAATGCTATCTCGAATACTTTGCATCAGTCGCATCTGAGGAAAAAAAAGGTTGTAATAGTATAATAGGTATAAAATATAATTTAGATATAGTACTGTACTATATATGGCTAAGTGTTGTGGGGCAAAAATTATAAAAACTACTAGGTGAAAAAAGCAGAACTGCAAATCCACAAAACACATTACAAATTTTGAAAAAATTATACAGTACTGTATATTGCATTCTATTCTATCTAAATAATGTGAGGGAATACCAAAGGATATTCCTCACAAGGAAAGCATTCACTATTTCTCACACATACAAAATGAAACAAATATCATTAAAACAAACACTAATTACAAGTTATTTTTCAATTCCCCTAACTTGTTTGAATGGAAAATATTTATGAAAACATTCTGCATTAATAAATGTAATGCTGAAGAGAATTCCTAATTTTTTTAAAGTCACTCAAAATAACAAAAGAAATGTGAGGTTTCCAGGACAAACGTATTTAGAAGATAGAAATTTTGAGATCAGTGCTTTCAGAATTAACATGGTTTCACTCTGGTATCTAGGTCTCCTACAGAAATTTTATCACAGCCTCCACATGGTATGGTTCATTGGCTTCCCTTTCTTCTACAGCACTGTGACCCCTGTGGTTTAGTTTTGATTATAATAATAATAATTCCCTTTCTTTTTGACTAAGCCTTTCTAAACAATTAAGTTAAAGGTCATCTTTATTTACTCCCAGTACTCTGGTCCCAACAGAAAAAAAAAATAATGAAAGGTTCCAGGTTTGGTCCTGGGAGGAGGGGGGAGATTTAGCATATTTCCTTTCACTTGTCAGCCCCCACTCATCTAGCAGCAAACAAATACCCAGGTGTTAGCAGACTATTGTGGGTTGCATCCTAGGGAAGAGAGGAAAAAAAATCCCAATGAAAATAAACCAGTGATTGGTATTCTTGGGTTATACTCAGGGTTAATAGTAATAATAATAATTATTCTACATGTACACTTATACAGTCCATAGCTTGTTATCAATGACATACTATAACAGAAAGCCCTGGTTATGCTGAGCATTTCAGGAATCAGGTTAATTTGTCCAGGTTGCTGACCCCACACAGTTGGCTAACACCAGGTACCTATTTTTGACTAAGCGAATGGGGGGCTTGCAGGCATTTACTTAAGGAAAAACACACCCATGTTTCCATTTGTACAGGGAATTCACCACGGACCTTCAATATATGAGCTGTGTGCAGTACGACCAAGCTACAGGACACCTAAATTAATTCCAATTAGTCTTATTCTTCAATTTAATCATGAAGGTAAGATAATAGTGCGTACATATACAAAGGGTGAGAATGTTGCAGTTCTGAGGGCCATCTATGACGTCAGCACACTTTTGGTATGACAGCGAACACATTTCCTCTTTTTTGGTCACCTACCTCAGTGGGAGACTGTCAGGGTTTGGAAAAAACAAAAAGAAAGATTTCCCTCTCTACAAATGTTCTTCAGTATTATCATTTTTTTTTACGAAAATAGTTAACAATAGTTACACTAAATAAAAACAATTAAGTTTAGTTTATTACAAGGATAACTCACCTGGTAGGCAACATTGTGCAAGGATAAAGATGGCAAGCAACCGTTCTCTTCGTAACAGATGTGTGAAGGTAAGACGTGAGTAATGTTCTGCAAGTGAACAGCCACATTTTTCATCAATAGGCCTGAATATCATTAAGCAATGTTCACGGCCTTCAGGTTTGATTGACCATTGTCACAAGTGCAACAGCCAAATCTCTAAAATAAAAGAAATCACAGATGAGTTTTTCATAGAAAATACTAGATACGTATATGGAAAGGGCCGCCCCCTAGCCCTTTCGGGTTTTTTTTTCACAGCATCTGGCCAGTACTTCCCTGGGTGGTTGCTGTCTACCAACCTACTACTATATATATTTTATTATTATCACACTGGCCGATTCCCACCATGGCAGGGTGGCCCGAAAAAGAAAAACTTTCACCATCATTCACTCCATCACTGTCTTGCCAGAAGGGTGCTTTACACTACAGTTTTTAAACTGCAACATTAACACCCCTCCTTCAGAGTGCAGGCACTGTACTTCCCATCTCCAGGACTCAAGTCCGGCCTGCCGGTTTCCCTGAACCCCTTCATAAATGTTACTTTGCTCACACTCCAACAGCACGTAGGTAGTAGGTTGATAGACAGCAACCACCCAGGGAGGTACTACCGTCCTGCCAAGTGAGTGTAAAACAAAAACCTGTAATTGTTTTACATGATGGTAAGATTGCTGGTGTCCTTTTTTCTGTCTCATAAACATGCAAGATTTTAGGTACGTCTTGCTACTTCTACTTACACTTAGGTCACACTACACATACATGTACAAGCATATATATACACACCCCTCTGGGTATTCTTCTATTTTCTTTCTAATTCTTGTTCTTTTTTTATTGCCTCTTATCTCCATGGGAAAGTGGAACAGAATTCTTCCTCCGTAAGCCATGCGTGTTGTAAGAGGCAATTAAAATGCCGGGAGCAAGGGGCTAGTAACCCCTTCTCCCGTATAAATTACTAAATTTAAGAGAGAAACTTTCGTTTTTCTTTTTGGGCCACCCTGCCTTGGTGGGATACGGCCGGTGTGTTGAAAGAATATATATATATATATATATATATATATATATATATATATATAGTGGGTTTGGTAGACAGCAACCACCCAGGGAGGTACTACCGTCCTACCAAGTGAGTGTAAAACGAAGCCTGTGATTGTTTTACATGATGGTAGGATTGCTGATGTCTTTTGTCTGTCTCATAAATATGCAAGATTACAGGCATGTCTTGCTACTTCTACTTACACTTAGGTCACACTACACATACATGTACACATTTATTTATACACACCACTGAGTTTTCTTTGATTTTATTAATAGTTCTTGGTCTTTTTAAATTTTTCCTTTATATCCATGGGGAAAAGTGGAATAAGAATCTTTCCTCCGTAAGCCATGCGTGTTGTAAAAGTCAACTAAAATGCCGGGAACAAGGGCTAGTAACCCCTTTTCCTGTAAAGATTACTAAAAAGAATAAGAAGAAGAAAATTGTCAAAGTGGGAAGTCTGAATGTGCGTGGATGTTGTGCAGATGAAAGAAAGAGATGATTTTTGGATGTTATGAATAAAGAAAAAGCTGGATGTCCTGGCTTTAAGTGAAACAAAGCTGAAGGGGGTGGGAGATTT